GGCGAGAGCAGCCCGAGGGGGTTGAGGATGTTGCCTCAAGCAACGCAACCGATCACCCAGCCGCTTGTTGCCTACACCTACTTGCTGTCCACGTTGTTGGTCCTCAAGCCAGGTGAGTCAGGAACAGGCAGCATTTGAGAGCGTCCGCAGTCTGTCACGGTTTTCTTTGGAGGGAAGTCTCAACTCCAGCTTGCCTCATGTTTGACGACGCGTCGGGCTTGTCCACTGCTGCAAGCGAGATATTTGTTGAACTGAGCCCCAGAAGACACGCCACACCCTTGTGAGTTTCAGCACTTGCACACCAAGCTTCATGGTCACCTGGGCAGAATCACAAATGAGTGGCGGGACGCGTTTGCTCCCATCACCTTCCCTTCCCTCGTTGCGGTCAGCCCATTTAAAGCTGCGCACGTTTGTCAGGGTTGGAAGGTCGTTGTCACCTGGGATTGGCTTTCTCCTTAGACAGCGAATGTGTCGCAGACATCAAGCGACTGTTTGACGACTGTGATTCGTGAATCATTGCCAGCCCTTGGGGTCAGTGAGTGCAAGGCTTGCGCTCTGCTGCTTCAGGCTGGATCACGTTCGTTCTGCAAGTTTGCAAACAGTGTCACTCACTCTCAAGGCTTGGAAGGAACTGACAAGCAATGACACTGCGAGCAAGGCAGACACCTCAGCTTCCGCTCCAGCAAAAGCACTGAAGAAATCAAGAGCTGGGCTTGCTGCCAGGTGACATGGTTTGTTGGGCTCGCGCACCAGCTCATGTTGCCACTGATGGATGCATCGCACCTGGAAGCGTACTTGTTATTCTCTCCAAGACGTTCTGGCGGAAGCAATATTGTTACTGTAGAGTGTTTGATTGCTTGGCTGTCAGGGTTTTGCTTGAGCTTCTTTGGGCCACCAAGGTTTCCATAGGCATGGTACCTCTTGGTACCTGGCCAGTTGAGGTGGGATCATTTGGTAACAGACAAGTCTGTTTGTAAGCTTCGAGACTCAATTTCTGTGCGCTTCCAGGACATCATGGCTGCTGTGAGTGCCATGATGGAAGAGCGGCGGGTGGCAACGGACCAAAACAAGTCGACATCAATTGTTTGAGGCAACTGGCAAAAACCGCACAGATGCGCGTGCAACCCTGCCCAACCCCACCCAACCCCCGAGCCCGCATGTCTGGGTATTAAAATTATTAATGTGTGTGTGTGTGTGTCTCTCTCTCTCCCTCTCTCTCTGTCTGTGTGTTGTGCATGTGGCCCACACTCGCACGCCCGCGCACGCCTGTGCGCACGCTGGCGCGCAAAACGCAATACGTCCCACGCACACACGCAGGTTTACTCTCGCCCTCTGAGACCACTCTACACACCACACAACACGCAACACACAACACACAGCGCACCCCACACAACAGAACACGCAACACAACAAGAACGCGACATGCATAACACAACGCAACACAACACAGCACACACACACACAATACACAATACACAATACACAGCACACAACACACACACACAACACAGCACACACTACACAACAAATAACGCACAAAGCGCACCACGCAGCACACCACACACACACACACCACAAAAGCACAGCCCACACAACACAGGGCAACCACACACAGACACACACACACACACACAGACACACACACACACACACACAGACACACGCACACACACACAGATACAAACACAGAAATACACGCTGACAAATGAACCACACACACACACAGATACTACACAAACACACACAGACACACCCCACACAGCAGACAAACACAACATGCAGACAGACAGACAGACAGACAGACAGACAGACAGACAGACAGACAGACAGACAGACAGACAGACAGACAGACAGACAGACAGACAGACAGACAGACAGACAGACAGACAGACAGACAGACAGACAGACAGACAGACAGACAGACAGACAGACAGACAGACAGACAGACAGACAGACAGACAGACAGACAGACAGACAGACAGACAGACAGACAGACAGACAGACAGACAGACAGACAGACAGACAGACAGACAGACACAGACAGACAGACAGACAGACAGACAGACAGACAGACAGACAGACAGACAGACAGACAGACAGACAGACAGACACACAGACACACACACACACACACACACACACACACACACACACACACACACACACACACACACACACACACACACACACACACACACACACACACACACACACACACACACACACACACACACACACACACACACACACACACACACACACACACACACACACACACACACACACACACACACACACACACACACACACACACACACACACACACACACACACACACACACACACACACACACACACACACACACACACACACACACACACACACACACACACACACACACACACACACACACACACACACACACACACACACACACACACACACACACACACACACACACACACACACACACACACACACACACACACACACACACACACACACACACACACACACACACACACACACACACACACACGCACACACACACACACACACACACACACACACACACACACACACACACACACACACACACACACACACACACACACACACACACACACACACACACACACACACACACACACACACACACACACACACACACACACACACACACACACACACACACACACACACACACACACACACACACACACACACACACACACACACACACACACACACACACACACACACACACACACACACACACACACACACACACACACACACACACACACACACACACACACACACACACACACACACACACACACACACACACACACACACACACACACACACACACACACACACACACACACACACACACACACACACACACACACACACACACACACACACACACACACACAGTCATTGCACCCTTGCACCCGTGGCTCCGCGCCTCTGCCAGTCGCACCCTCGCCAGTACCCGTGACCGCATAGCCAGACAAGCACACGCGCAAGCACGCTCGCGCGCACGGGCGCGGTACGGGCCATGCCCATGCTCGGACGCGCCCCCGCCTGGCACAGCTATGCGTTCACGCATTCGTGCTTGCCTTCTCCGCCTTGAATTGCTCGCGCCCCTGCTCTCGCGTGTGAGGTAAAGCGCCCTAAGTGCGCCCAGGCACCCATGGGCTCTTGCGGGCCTTTCTCTCTCTGCTTAGCTGGAACTCGGCGGGCCTTTCTGTCTCCGCTTAGGCTTGAATTCACGCATGTTGCTTTTGATTCGTGCCGGGCCCTCGTAGCAAGACTCCAGACTCAGACAGACAAATTTACGCCCACACGCAGGTTGGCTTTGTCCTGCTCAAACAAAGTCGATGCTCACGTTCACTTCGCCAAACATTCAAGGGACACTAGGTTTGTCATATCCATGAAGCTGCTCTGCAACTGCGAAAGAAGACATGCACAGTTTCAGGGCTCACTTCTCGTAAGTGTTTGCAAGCAAGCCCGAAGCAAAGACAAGTTAGACATTTTGTCCCACCATGGGCGCAAAATGGGCGGTGGTGAGCTTCTGAGACAATGTCAGCCGATCTTTGTGTTTGACTGGCATCATACTTGCATTGAGTATTTTGAGTAGACAACTTCAACTGTAAAGTGCTGCCCGAGGCCAACGTTGGGAAGTTGTGGGTGGCGGGGACAAGGGCGGTATAGTTGTGCGTGCCAGAGGCTTACACTGGCGAGTCATGATCGGCGCAGCGAAGTGAATTCACTACTCCAGGCTGGTCGCCAGCTGAGCTCTACGGAGCTTCCCGCGAAGCTGGAGAAGTCAGCAGTGGTGGAGGACAAGCGCAACGACGCATGGTCGGCGAGCCTTGTGGAGTTGGTGTTGTGTTAGAGGAGCTTGCCCGCACTGGTGACCGACTGAAGTACAAGTTGCTGAGTGGAACAGGGCCTGAGGACAGCACTTCAGCAAGTTGTGTCGGCCCTTTGATGGTGGTCAGCAGACCTTGCAGGAGGGATGGGTGAGCGTGCGCCTGAAGGATAAGGCCCGGAGCTGACGAGTGCTTTGGATGCCTAGGTGGGGATTTATCAAAAGGTCCTGTACACGGAATGACCATCAGGGAAACCACCCAAAAGATGATATTTCCCACATTTCCCACTAAATGGGAGAAGCTGCCCTTGGTCATCTGTGGGCCAGGAATATTGATCAGCCCCCAGGTTTTTTTTTGGTCCTTGCCCCAAGGTCTTGCTGGAGCCGTGTGGCCAGGTGCAGCCACTGCGCAAAGCCACAGCTTTCCCTCAGCTGTCAAGGATGACTCAGACAACACGAGCTTTGCCACGCGTTTGGAGGACTGGACTTGTATTGATGCTTGCCACCTCGACTTGGTGTTATGTCCCTCAGAAACTACTTGCACTCGTGTCAGCGTGGCGCAGCTTTCCGGCTCATGAGTAGCCGCTCACGAGTAGTGCGACTGCATTGAACATTGACTTGAAGCTGTGCATTGATTTTCACGCTAGAAAAGGCTGAACAAACTAAGATACTGAATGCGTTTGAATTCCTCATTGTAGCCATCTCGAAAGCCACCCCCGCTGCCAATTTCTGACCCCTAGATGCGCAGAGGCAAAAACGAACTCATAGCCATCGCCTTTCGTGACCTCATCAATTCTGGCCCCGTTCCAAGTACCCCAACCACTTTCATATTGCGCTTGGGTTCATGCTTGTATTTTTCTTGTATAGTTCATGATCACGACGCATGACATGGCGTGGTTCCACAGAGGGAGAGTGCGCAAACTAGGCACACTGGGCAGGTTTGGCCTGTTTGGCCTGCCAGCAGGTAGGCAAAAGTTCAGGCAGCGAAGGTTTGCGCAAAGTGGCTTGCTACTCTCGCCAAGAGGAATTGCGAGAAGAATTTCCAGGTTGCTGGCGTCTCAGGCAACATTGTATTGCTAGAGCAGACGAAGCATGCACTAAGGTGCTGACCTGAAAGTTCCGAAGGAAGCTGAGCAATGGCCGGATCTTGTCTTAGCGCGCACAATGTCCAATGTTCTTCGTGTTCGGCCTCTGAACAAAGGGCTGGGCTCAATGGGCTTCAACATTCTGCGTGAAGGATTCAGACCTGCACAACTTCTTTGAAAGCGGTGGCCTCATTCTACCGAAACCAGCGCCGAAGGTCACTCAGAAGGCGCGTCTGTTTGCGAACTGGCCGTTCGATCTGGCAGTTAAGCGAGGCGCTGCCAAGCGCAAGTCTGCCCCTTAGTGTACTTGAAAACCAAACTTTTTGTTTGATTCATGTGTTTTTTGCGGGTCAACGATTTGCCAGCAGCGGTAGCGAAAGCACAACAGCGCATCTTGAGTGCTGCTTGGAAGGTACCAGTCCGTCGTTTTGCAAGTTTCAGCTTCGCTGTACATCCATGGGCAAGGTCCAGACGAGATCAAAGGGCCGCAATTTGCAGTGCCGGAAGCATTGCAACTTCAGGATTGGCAGGTTGCTTTTGGCTCCATGGCAAATGTGAACATCCGCAGGATAAACTCCTGAAAGCCTTTAAAAGTTCAGAGTTTCAGCAGAGGCTGCGAGCTCAGGATAAGCTGTGCAATTTGCTGGCTTCGGTCTGAAGACAGTCCAAGTTTTTCACACTTGAGTTGGTACTTGCAGATGGCATCTCATGGAAAGTGTGTTCTCATTCCCAGACAAGAAATGACGAGGTTGAAGAGATTGCAACTTCGCTACCCAAAGCGCTGATCTCAGTCTTCTGAATTTTGAAGTAAGTTCTTGCAATCCGAATTTGCAGACGAAAGCCTGGGCCACCTCGCGATGGTGCACATCTGTAGCGTTGCTGGATTTCTAAGCTGAATAGTACGGCCGCGCAACTAGCTGCCAGGAGGCCTCGAACCAATCGCATGCTTTTCAATATGCTAGCCGGCCAACGATTGAACACAATCCTGCTCACCTGCTCAACGTGAGAAGCTGTAGTCATGAAGAAAACAACGCAACACGCCTTGTGCGACATCAAAGATAGAAGTTTGAAACCGCGAGGCAATGTGCTGCAATCCTGTCTTGGGTACAGCGAGCAAGCAAGATCATGGCGACAAATGCCCTGTATGAACCGCGACCCTTTGGATTCTTGGATAGGCAAAGCTGCGGGCGCACACATATGTATATATTATAATATATATATATATAAAGTTCGCGAGTGCTTGTTTGACAAGCACGACAGCGTGCGAACCCTTTGCTTCTTCATTGGCACTTTGACTTTGTCACCTTGGCGCCATGTATTGGGCGGCCTTCTCGGTGATTGTTGCGAGGTTAAGGTCACATAGCTGAAGCCGTCCAATCGGGGTGCTCTTTCTGATTGCTCTAAGTTACTGTGCACGGTCCTGTTGAACTGGCTTGATGTAATGATATGTGCGGCTTGCTTGGGGTGGCTAATGTGTGGGGGAGAGCCCTGCCTTGGTGCACTCGATGTATTTTCGATGAATCGTCCATAGCCATTCTGGCTCTGGCTCGTTGAGTCAGATCAGAAGAAGTACCCCCAAGGAAGCTCGACAGGCAGCACCACTAGGTACTTTCCAGGCTGATTGTCCTGATCTTGTTTAACGTCACTATCTAGATAGACATGGCAGACGAGGCCAAGAGAATGTCCAAGCAGCATCAAAAGTGGATGCTGGACTTCCTCAAGGAGAACTCTGGCGTGGTGAAGTACGGAACACTTGTTGAGGAGGGCGAGAAGCACGCTTGCGACACTGTTGGTGCAATGCTCAAGATCCTCAAGAGCAAGAATGTCATTGACTACGAAGGCGCCTTCCTCATGTTCCCAATGCACAAGGACCAGGATATCAAGCTGCTGAATGCTGATTTTGATCCCACGGCAGCGGAGTAGCGAGAGGTAGAAGAAGCTTGTAGTCGGCTTTAGCCTTATGCTTGCATGGCACTGGTGCTGCCATGCCTCCCCAAAAAGGGAGACACATACTTTTCTTTTTTGTTTTCTCTTCATGCATGGCCTTAGGACATTACATGCAGCTGTGCCTAAAACGAAACCACTTGAACACCGCCCAAGAGCATGGGAGCCTGTCCCCAGCTGAAAGCTATCTCTGCCAAGAGCTCTGAGCTCCGAGGCCGGATTCCGGAGGGTTCCGAAGCGGGTGCTGGGCGTCCGCAGTCCGGATTTCGAGAGGCGCTGCATGGAGCGGCTGGCCAAAAGTGTCCATCAACGTGGGGCCGTGCGGAAATGTGAACGCGTGCGAAAGAGACAAAGGCGCCCGGGGGGTTTAGTTTTCAATGACACATTGCAGCGCATAAAAAGCAAAGATTATAGCACCTGGAGAATGATAAACACTCGTCAAACAGGAATGCCAAAACAAGGCAGCGTGCCAGCGGCGCTTCAAGACCTTCTTAGTTAGGTCCCAGCAAGCAGGGAATGTCACTTTCAAACCTTATTCAGATGAGTGTAATTTGTGATTCGCCCGAAACACATGTGGACAACCAGAGCCCAAAACCAGATGCGGAGGGCTCAAACGTGGCAGGGGCTGGCCAGACGACCTTCGTTTTTGATGCCGGAAAGGCGCATAAGAGACTTCTTGTGCGTTCCCAAGGAGAAAGGAAAGAGGGCACAAGGAGCCGTTCTTAGAGTTGCCCCCACGTTGCACGGCAACCTGTTATCTTGCTGCTTAGGATGGCTCAGCGTACTTCGAGGCTTTTGAGGTGGGGCAGCGTCACAGGGAGGCTTGGGGTGCAAATGAGACTAGGCACTTGTGATGGGTGTGCGTGGCTCTGAGGGACAGACCTTGGTCTCGACGCTCAGTCAGAGCCAGCCGAGGTATTGCCGCGTCCTTCCAGACTATGGTTTGGCAGGAGATTGGGATGGTGCTTTGGCCTGAGCACGATATCTTCTGGTTGAACTGAAGTGCATGGACAAAATGAGGGCAGCTGAAAGGTCTCCGATTTAGCCTGGTGGGATTGTGTCAAGCGGATGCTTTTTGATAGTGTTGCCTGTTGTCAGGTCCGCGACATGTTTGCCAAGATGGCGGCCGCGATGGTGAACTCGAAGGTGCAGCATGTTGGGCAGTGGTATCAATTGATTGGATTACAGGCTGCAAGCGCTCATCCGGTGACAGTGTTTGCTTTTACCGTCTGAATGGCAGACATGGTAGGTGATGTCAAGAGCCGAGACATGCCAACCACATAATCGATAGATTTGAGTCAACAAAAACAGACTGAGTCATGGGCTCGGAACGGGCCATTTCGTAAGTTTTGTAAAGAGCTTGGACGCTGTCGATCGGATGTCGAATGATTCTGAAACTCAACTTTGGAATTCGCGACATCTACTTTGTGAACACATATCAAGACACACGGGGGTTTTAGCTGCGACACACATATTCTTGGGCCCCCGAAAAGAACACGGCGCAAGAGAATTTGATTGTCTTCAGAGTACTTTTGTGCGATTTCCACCCCGTTTTCAGGCACCCCACATTTGAGCATTTAACTGTGCCCGCATATGTACAATGGACTGTGACTGTATCTGACCAGAAAAACTTGAAGCCGCTTCAAAACGCTTTCTGATCCAAGCTTCAAGATTCAAGATTCGAAGGACCCCCCCAAAACGCTTAAAACACTTTAAAACACTTTTGGATCTAAAATTCAGCTTCAAGATTCCCTAGCTTTCCTTCTGATGATATGCTCAAATTAACTTGTGCTGAAATAGGTTTAGTTTTTGAGCAGAATATGTAAGAACTGATTGCAAAAAGGATCACGATGAGGAAAAGCCACAGACAATGTAGAAGCACATTCTATTTATCAAAGGAAGTTTAAAAGGAACAACTGTGTTTGGACACTACTTGAAAGGCAGTTTTGTGCATGGATAAGATGAACATGGAATGAATGCATGCGAGAAAACGTGCGTGCTGCGCGGGAAGAGAATCGTGAAAAAGAGTGACCCTCCTCGGCTTTTGGCGTCTCTGGCGGGCTGAAAGCTACCTCGGTCGCGGCGCCTGTCGGACGACGGTCACGGAACAGTCTCGGACCGGGCCCATAGGCGCGGACGCGCGCGCTTTTTGCGACGTCAGTTATGGGTCACAGGCGCAGCGCTTCGGTAAGCTCAGGCGAAGGTTGCCTGGCGGGCGCGGTGTTGGATTGGGGATGAGACTGCGCGGCAGACGCAACGCTTTGGCAGCCTGAGGTAGACTTTGTGGCAGGCGCAGCGCTGCCGAAGACTTAGGTGCAGGTTGCGCGCAGCTTTTTGGCAATGCTGGTAAGGATGTCCCGTTGGCACGGACGTGCGATCTGGCACATGCAGATTTCGTGGCAGGCGCTTTCGCAAAGTCAAGTGCAGATTTCGGCAGGCGCCATTCGCAGGGTCAGGTACGGATCTCGTGGCAGGCAAGGTCAAACACAGATCTGGTGGCAGGCGCAGCGCCTTTGAATGGTCAGGACACGTACAGATTTTGAAGATAGATGAGTAGCTAGCCGGAGAGAGAAATAGGTGAGGGAGGGAGGTATAATGGATAGACGGACAGGCAGACAGACAGACAGACGGACAGACAGACAAACAGAGACAGGCAGGCAGACAGACAGACAGACAGACCGACAGACAGACAGACAGACAGACAGACAGACACACAGACACACAGACACAGACACAGACACAGACACAGACACAGACACAGACACAGACACAGACAGACAGAGACAGACACAGACACAGACACAGACACAGACACAGACACAGACACAGACACAGACACAGACACAGACACAGACACAGACAGAGACAGACAGACAGACAGACAGACAGACAGACAGACAGACAGACAGACAGACAGATAGACAGACAGGAAGAGAGACATAGAGAGACATAGAGTTAGATAGATAGATCGATAGATAGATAGGCTACAGGTGCTTAGACAGATGGGTGGACGGGCTGGTGGATTGCAAGCTAGATGGGTAGACACATAGGTAGATAGTTAGAAGGGTTGCAGGGAGAGAGATAGACAGATAGACAGTCAGACGGACGGGTTGATTGCTACATCGATCTAGATTGATAGAAAGGGTAGATAGACAAATGAAACAACACTAGATACGTGGCTATCTAGCTAGCTAGATAGACACACAAGTGGATGTAGAAGGAAATAGCTGGACAGAAAGCTGGATGGACAGATAGATGGACAAACAGATAGAGAGATAGAGAGATCGCGCGATAGAGAGGCAGAGAGATAGAGAGCGAGATGGAGGGATGCAGAGGTGAATTGGCGGAAGTTTCAAAGATATAACTAGAGTTCTCTTTCTCGTTCTCATGTCCTCTCTTTCTCTTTCTCTTCCTCTTGATTTCCTCTTGCTGTTTCTTTGTCTTTTTATCTTTATCTTTCTCTTTGTCTCTTCTGCTCTGTTTCCCTTTCTCACATGTTCTTCTTTGTCTCGTTCTGCCCTACCTATCTCTCTTTCCATCTATCTGTTTATTCGGTCTATCTATCTTGCTACGCGTCTGTCTGTCTATCCATCCATCTACCTTGCTATGTCTCTGTCTCTGGCTTCGCCGTCTCTACTGGCATGGGTGGCAAAGTTCCAATGAATCATATGCGCAAGTTTGCCAAATGAGCCCGCTTCTCGTAGTATTCATCTAGAATTCCTGACCTCCCTTGCGTCACCAGCAGGCGCGATATTGTTGGGCGTGCGCGTATCTGTATATATGTAAATGAATGTACATGAATAGTATATATATATGTATACATACATAGGTATGTATGTACACATGCTGCGCGTGGCATAGCTGCGTGCGATGTTGCGCAAATGCAGACTATTGCATTGCCATCAAGGTCAAGAAACAGCATGAGGAAATCAACACGTTGCTGGGCTTGCTGGGCCCCCAATCCATTAGAAGCTGCTAGACCTTGGAGCCTCAATCTTCAGAAAGAGATGCCCACCATGGTGCTTGCCCATGGTCTTGCTGTGGCAAGCATTGTTTGCAGAGGCATTGGTCAACAACACAAATTGCCTAGCTATATTGGCCATGCTGCTGCATGCATTGCATCAAGGTTTGCACTATTTGAGCTGATGCCTCAAAACTGCTGTATAAGGCCTCGAGACGCACGGTTGGCACCGTCAAAACGAGAGGCGCTGGGTTTTTTGCTTTGTAGGCTTTTCTCGGTCTTAAAGCCAGGGCCTTGTCGATTTCCATGCATGATTGCTTGCTGGTTGGCAATAGCTTAAACGCTGAATTCACCTCGGTGGAGGAGGATTGTCTCATGAGATGGTGATATCTTACAGACACTAGCGACAGCTTGTATTACAGGCCATGCCAGCTTTGCTCAACGCCATGCGCGAAGAGTGAGTCCCTGCGGACATCACCAAGTGATCCTGGCTTGGCAACTGCACAACAACCGATCTGCCCATATTTGCCCCAGTTGGTAAGCATCCTGGCAACATTTGGCAACTGTCGGGCACTTGAGCAGCAGACCATGTTTAGCGCGTTTCATGAGTTGTTACGCCTTTGAGCACGTCATAGCCCTTTCATCGCCTGGACTTGCAACGGGTTGGCTTGACTGTTGTTTCAGTCGCGTTGTGTTTGCGCAATTTTCGTCAAAGTTATCAGTACAAGCACTCAGTTGTTCCAGGATGCAGCATTCTGGTAAACAGCTTTGCGTTGAATCCGCTTAACATGTTTGACTCATCGAGGACATTTGAATCGCTCTAGCCTGCTGGCTATTCATGGTTTGTGTCCTGGCAACTGCAGGGCTTCTTCACATACTGCCCAGGCTCGCTGCGACAAAGCTTGCAGACTTCTGCTTGCATTTTGTGGAGTTGATTGCTGCAGGCGGTGACGCTGGCTCACCTGATCCGAATGATCTGCTTCCCTTGGTTGAGGCGAAGCTTCCATGCGCAGCGAGCTGCAGTCTTCACCTGCTTGATTTGGTTTCATACTGTGCCGCTTCCTTTCAAACATAGGATGACGATGGGGACGTGGCTCACGAGTTCTTGGTGGAAGACGAGGAATTGCTGGCATTTTCTTCAACTTGAAATGGCTGTTTCTGACCGGTTTGGTGCAAGCAAGTTTTCCAGGCGACAGGAGAATTGGTTTCGGCCAAAGCCTCCTCAAGCTCTTGGTCACGTTCTTGGCAAATCGTCAGCATGTGCTATTTACTTGTGGCTGTGGCGCAATGCGAAATGCTTTTTAAAATTCATGTTTTCAGGTTTCGAGTGCTGCAGCCTACCACAATCAGACCCCGTCCGGATGCAAAGCACGTGCCTCAACTTTGGGGATACTGATTATCAAATCTACGACAGCCCGAACTGAAATCCCTGGCCACAAAGTACTTGCTGCATAAGGTTGTTCTTCCCTTATGTGTTTTTTGGTGGGCTTCCCGCATGACTCCGCAGAGACCCGTGAGCACTGTGGTGCTCACCGTAGAACATACATCGCATGCGTCATGAAATCCACTGCCACAAACTAAGACCTTGAACAACACACACACACAAACACCTCTGGTACCACAAATACCAGGATCAGCAAGAAATTGTAAATATCCAGATTTGAACTCTGAGCAAGATCTCAGGTCTGGGACACTGGGCGCCTGTGCCAAAGGGCAGCATTTTCGCGCCAAACAGATTGTGGATGGCAGGCCTGAGCAGTTTAAGTGAGTGCGGGCTACGTGGTGTTTGTTGATGGCTGCTGACAATTGCAAAGCTGCGTGGAGCAAAGGTGGCTGCAACTACACGACAATGAGCTGCAGCTGTTGGGTGGTGTTGCTGAGGCCTGGTGGTTTCAAACACACCTGACCTCTATTGAAAGTGGCACTTTCTTGCGCGGGCAAATTTGGGGAAGGATGGTAATGTTGATTGTGGTGCGCTGGTTGAACAGGCTTGGATACCTTTGTATGACGGCCCTGGTCGCTTGCTGGAGAAAGCACACCCTCCCAGAGAAAAGGCGTTGCCGCAAAGCTTGCACCTTTGACTGTTTGCATTCGGCCAAAGACCGCTAGTTTGACAGACTGAGCCTTGTTTCCTGGACCCGCAGTCCTTGACTAACAATGAAGACCGGGCTGACAGCAAGATGGCACACGCAACGCAAATCTCATCACGAACAACCTAGCACTACAAGCTGGCAGCAGTTAACGCAGAGCTGCCCACAATGATGAGCTGTCCGCAGCCACACCGCTGCTTGCTGGTTGCTTTTGATTTCATTGCCCATGGCTTTTTGCCATCCAGCTTCGAAGCATGAGGACTGGTTTCTGCCTCAATGTGCGCAGACAAGCTGGTTTCGAACTTCTGCTGATTGAGGCATTGAGTGCGGTGCCTGATGCCTGGGGACAGGACCTCAGACTCGGTTCACTTCGAGAGCAAAGATGAAGAACGATTCTTCATGCCGCCTTCCTTGATATTTTTGTTTCTCGTCGGTGCGTGTCAATTTCACGGAAATGCTGGCGTAGCAGGGGCTTGCGCATACAGTACCCAGGTCTACACACACACACCCACCCACACATTCTTTTGAAGCTCTGCGCCCGGTGCCGTCTCTAGTGCAGGCTTGCCCCTCCCCCTCGTGTCCCAGTCTGACCTTGCGTATACGCCGGCAGTCTGCCGCAGATGCCGACAAGCATCTGGCTACTGCACGTCTCCGACTCCTCCGGCGTCTTCGAAGCCATAACCGTGCTGCGGGTGAGAATATCTTGCTCACTCGCGCGTTCTGAAATGCGTAAGCTGCTCGCCTTGATTCAGTAGTTCGCCAAGGCAAATGAAAGTTGGCTGCGCAGCAACTGCGTAGCAATTGCCTGCCAACACACGGTAGCACGGAGACATGGTATCATATTTGCGTTGCGTGACAGGCGCCACACTTGCATGTAACATTTATATATATATATATATACACATATATATATATATACATACATATATATATATAATATTACACAGTTGTGTGTCATCGCCCCTTCATGGCTTGGTTGTCGCAAAATGTGCCGCTCTCGTGGAAACGAATGCACAACATGCACCTTCTTATGGTATAGCTCTGGGATTGACCATAGCCCAAGCAATATTCCCTACATTGGCGAGCACATCCGTAGTTCAACGTTCAACTGCAGCATGGGAAACATGCTCGAGGAGCTCCAGATTGGACGTGGCAATAAGCTACGACTCGTAGCGTGAAAGGATAACTCCCAAGCTTGTCCTCTGCGGTACTTAACTGCATATTTTGGAACATGTGATGTCATGACATGTCATGTCACGCCCTACTACATCATGCCACATCATATATGTCATTGTGGCTTGCCATAGGTATACACGTGCATGGTGTGCCTACGGCAGCCCATATGCTGTAGCCCAGTTGCGTGGCCGTTTGATCACAGTTGGGCTCTCGTCAGCAGAAGAGAATAGTGAAAGAACTGGTGGACTCAAAAAAAGACTTTGCAAGCGGCAAAAAGAGGGCTTTATGTGGCACGCTTACTTTCTGTATGCTCATGCACTCGCACCCAGCACCCAACACGTGCCGCGTAGGCACTTTGAACGCAATACTCCAATCGCGTAGGCGGGCGTAACCTCGCGCAGGCTGTCCCGCATTGTATTTGCACATGGCATAGGCGTCGACGCCGGCATTACTTCCAAAAACAAACTCTGCTCAATGGGTTTTCCGATTTTTCATTTTGTTGAAGGCTGGCAGTCCAAGCTTCGCCGACACAAGTGACGAACCCAGTCTTGTGAAGCTTGCCAGTGCGCTGGACATATGTGCGTGTGTGTCAATCAGCTCTATACAAAGGTTGCGTAGAGAGGCTTGGCGAGAAGTTTGTTTTTCGTCGGAATGGTATGGAATGAAATGCCAACAGGCGCCTTCCAAACTATTTGCTTCCCGATCTGAGCTCGCCATTGAAGACAGCACCAGCAGCAGCCAACTCAGTGTGCCATTGTTTGCACAGATTCTGAGGGAGAACTGACTTGTAAGGTTTGCCACAATCTTTCTGAGAATGCAGGCCGGGACTGGACATGTTGCTTGTCCAGAGATGACGTCAATGCAAGCAAAGGCAGACACCCATCATTCTTCACCAAGGACTGAGAGAAGGGTTAGTATCTGCAACGCAAGTTGAGATTGGCCTGGTATTTGCAAGGACATGCCAGGTCCACAAAGCAGCGAGCTGATCGTTGGAGATTGCAATGCAGTTGATAGCATTGGTTGGTCGTTCAGCCTTGCCCACTGCACTTGTTCGCCAGTGTTTCAAGGTTCAGGCGTCGGGAAAGGACCCTTTGCCCCAAGAGGCTTTGCTGTAGTGGAAGCTTCGATTACGCAAATGCCGTCCTTCGCATTTCACAATGAAGTTGGGGCAGGTGAGGCGGGAATTAGCTTTCCCTGGGATGTGTTCGAGAGCAACCCAAGGCTTGGTGCATCAAGATTCTGCCACACGTCTTGCTGATGCGAGCGAGAGAGTCTGCCAGGCACAACTCTTTGGGGCCATCAGCAGCAGTCTCGGATGGCGGGAAGGATCCGGGAACCAGCTACTGCCAGTCTTTTAGACCAAGGAAGTGCGAGCTTCAAGGCCGTTTGCTCAGCCCGGTGTTCAAGAATGTGTTAAAGCATGGGAAGCCAAGGCTGCCATTGACAGTACCCTCGGAGCCTTGGTCGAAGACAGGCTGCATCGGGGTTCTGACAAATCGATTGCCATGCTTAACTTTCGGCTATAACCTTTGCCGTGAATGACATGTGCGCTCCCTCTCTCTCTCTTTTTCTCTCTCTCTCTCTCTCTCTCTCTCTCCCTCCCTCTTGGAGCTTTGACAGGCAATGCAGCTTGGGAGGCTTGGCGAGAGCCACTCCATGGCTCGCAGGACGCTGCCTGGGAACAGAAATAGACTCGTGATGCAAGTCTATGTTGGCAGGTGCCACCATGGATGCGCGACATGAAGGCTTGGCTGTGCGTACATCTGCACAGTTGTCGGTATTTGGACACAGAGTTGTCAGCAGGCAGATCTCTCACCAAATAGCCTCTTTGTGTACAGCAATTGAGCCACAATCAAAACCTGGGTAGATGAGGGTTAGTAAGCGACGATCCCAACCAGAAATAGCTGCGGCCGCCTTTTTAATCCTGTACATGATTCTGGGTAGACCATTTTAGTACCAGGTTTTGATTGCGACTCAATTGTTGATGCCCATGGTGGCATTTTATGGCATCTTTTGAGCCAAACCCTAACCCCCGAAAAAAAAAGAAAAGAAAAAAGAAGAAAGCGTCTAGCTTGGCCTGCTGGCAAGTAGGACATTCTTGGCACCCCACTGCATCCCTCCCCTTTAATTCAATCCAGCTCGGCTTGCACTTGGCTTTATAGATGACCGGCTGGCCGTCGGTGCAGCATTGTTTGCACGCTCCACACCAGACCTGAGCTGCCTGTAATCCTCAAGCATTCTTATCCCAGCCCCAGCCACGCTCGGTGGGCCATCCGCCGGCTACCCTCCGCCAACCCACGTGCGGCGACATGCTCGCGCACACGCACATGATATGTCTGGATCAGGTGACGCGGCGCAAAGTTCTGATCCCTCTTCGGACCTCTGCTTCGGAGAGTTCAAGGGTAGAGCCGGGCGAACCTGGTGCCACTCTGAGTCTTCCTCGCGGACCTACCCGAACACGCTTCTCATGACGTAAGGGGTTCGCGCAGGCATTGATGTGGGAGTTGTCACGTGTCAACAGGCGCGCGTGACAGCTGTGCGTACGAGATATCAGTGTCTTGTTTGAAAGCTTGCTTGACTTCAAGCTTGGCTGTTGCTACACTGTTTGTTTGCTAGACTGGAATGCTGCAGTCCGAACCTAGTGGGAAATTGCTGCGATGAGTTCGCCGCGCTGAGCACGCGTGCGCCATCCACCGGGTCTTCTGTGCCCGACCAAAACCCCCCTCTTTGGTCAGTTCGGGGTCCAATCGGTATGCCTGGGTCCTTTGTGCACAAAACTGGTTCGAGGCTGACGCAGGCTTTATTGATGCTCGCGAGCACCCCATGGACGCAAGGCGATGGAAGGCCTTTCAGCAAGACATGAAGACCTGGTGACCTGCTGCGGTTGATGAAGGAGGCCGCTACAGCAACGGGTCCGTTCTCAGCCCGACCCAGCACCAAGTCGGCCTCGAGCGACTTGATCGCTGCTGAGCGACAATGCGATTGACCCACGTGGCAGTCGCGCAACAACTTGGGTGACTACCTCAAGATGCTTCAGATGAGGGAAGCGGCGCGGGAAGCCTTGGTGAAGACCGACTCAAGGGACGCGCAAGCAGGGCTATGAGGGCGCGGCCAAGAACAGTGGAAACCAGAGGGCTTGGTGTGTTTGTACCAGGTGTTGCGAGAAAGGTGACGAGCAGACAGAGGAGGAGGCAGGATCGCGTGAAAGGCTGCGTGGTACTGCGCTGAGCGCGCAAGGGGTGGTGGCGTGCATCGAAACGATGGGGGAGCTGCGGAGGGCAGAACAGGCCAGGGGAGTTGGCGAGCTCATCTGGGCCAAGGTTGTGTATCAGGACGCAAAGCCCTCGGTTTAAGCTGAACAGCAAGGACTCCTAAGGCGGCCAGGACAGACGCATGGCCAGCGACGTTTAGCTGAGCAAAGAAGAGCCTGGAGCCTTGCAGGGGCATGATCGCGAATTGCATGGTGTTGGAGACCGGCGAGCGCAAGCGGGCGTTGAAGCCGAGAGTGTCTTGGCCAGAAGAGTCGCTTCAAGGGCGAAGAGATTTTGAGGCACTGTGAAACCACGACGAGGCCTCTCGCCCTTGAAGCATGATGAAACACGCGTAATTTTGAGCCAATTTTTGCCCAACCCCCGCGAGTTGCGTCAAGAAGGCACGTCCAAATGCAGGGTTTGTCAGGTGTATTTGTTTGGTATTCATATTCGGGTGAGGCTGTGCGCAAGCAAACCTGGCGGGGGGTAAGGTAAGCGTTCTGCGTGGGCCATTCCATCAACATCCTTCGTAGGCAGGTTTACGCAGGCCTGCTTTGCCATAGGCAGTCTAAAGAGTAGCTTGCCAACAGGTGCGCGTAGGCACCCGCATGGGCATGATTCCAGTGTATGTTTTCACGCTTCACAAAACTGCCCATTTGCTAGCGTGAACACGCAGGAAGCAAGAGGTGCTGCTCAGCCGCCTGACGCTCGAATTTGCATGCCGCTGAAAGTGGCATTCTGGCAATGAAATACATAATCTAATCACTCAGCAATGTTCTGCGTTGACACGAGTAGTTCTCAAGACCTATTGTGTTCTTAGTGGGGAGTATGATGACTTTCGTCAGCCTTAACTGCAGTGTCTATTTCACTGATCGCATTGATGCATTTTTTGGTCTCCAGCCTCAGCCGTCAGCTTGCACCCAGGTCAGTGGACAAGGGTGCAAAAAACATCGTCGAAATCATCAGGCTGGCTTTGACATTGCGCAATTTCTGAAGGAATGTTAGCCCCTCTTGAGTTCCATGCAAGATGCAGTTTGAGTTTTGAGTAGCCAGTCTGCGTGTCGCAGGCAGCGCCATCAGGATCTAGGTGGCTTGGATGTGGCACATGCCAAGCTGCAGTCATGCTGAGCAGGTCCAACTGTGCATGAAGAGGGACTTGGCAGGACTGACGCGTGTCATGATTGTTGTTCCAGAGTTTGTTTTTTCAGCATGCTGCTGTACTGGTATCCATTGTCACCAGAGCGTGTCGAACGAAAGAGGCTTCAGTCGGAAAGAAAAATGAATCGCAGCCCAGATCCAGGCAGGGGTTAAAATTAGAAAGAGTTCCGTGCTGCAATCTTTGCAACCAAGCTGGTCAGGTCAACATGGGCACTCTGAAGAAGAGATCAGGAGATCAACTTGTGGTGTCAGATTGGCCTTTCTCGGGTTGTCAACGGAACAGATCAGTTTTGCAACATGGGAGCGTGCTGGCTATGAGTCCTATTTGACTTGAGCGTTGAGTAATATGCCATTCTGATTGTTGCAGGCAGCGCCAGCAGGATCTAGGCGGCTTGGATTTGGCATATGCCGGACTCCAGTCATGCTGAGCAGGTCCAACTGCGCATGAAGAGGGACTTGCCAGGACGGACTCGTGTCATGGTTGCTTTTCCAGTGCTTGGTTTTTCAGCGTGCTGCTGTATTGTTATGTGATGTGACCGGAGCGTGTCGAACAAAAGAGGCTTCAGTCGGAAAGATGCATGCATCGCAGCCCACATCCAGGCAGGGATTGGAATTAGAAAGAGTTCCGTGCTACAATTTTTGCAACAAAGCTGGCCAGGTCAACATGGGCGCTCTGAAGAAGAGATCAGGAGAGCAACTTGTGGTGTCAGATTGGCCTTTCTCGGGTTGTCAACGGAACAGAGCTGTTTTGTAACATGGGAGCGTGCTGGCTATGAGTTCTATTTGACTTGAGCGTTGAGTAATAAGCCATTCTGATTGTCGCAGGCAGCGCCAGCAGGATCTAGGCGGCCTGGATTTAACATATGCCAGACTCCAGTCATGCTGAGCAGGTCCAACTGCGCATGAAGAGGGACTTGCCAGGACGGACTCGTGTCAGGATTGCTTTTCCGGAGCTTTTTTTTTCTGCGTGTTGCTGTGCTGCTGTCTGTTGTCACCAGTGGACCAGAGCGACTCGCGCAAAAGAGGCTGCAGTCGGAAAGATACATGCATCGCAGCCCAGATCCAGGCAGATTTCAGTGCTGGCGTGTGTGAGTCACATCGTAGGACGCACCTTTTACAGCATTTTCGGTGATGCATGACAAAGCACGCTGGTCAGGTCAGCATGTGCACTCTGAAGAAGAGGGCAGGAGTGCACCTTGTGGTGTCAGATTGGCCTTTCTCGGGTTGTCAACGGAACAGATCAGTTTTGCAACATGGGAGCGTGCTGGCTATGAGTCTTATTTGACTTGAGCGTTGAGTACTTCGCCATTCTGATTGTTGCAGGCAGCGCCAGCAGGATCTAGGCGGCTTGGATTTGGCATCTGCCGGACTCCAGTCATGCTGAGCAGGTCCAACTGCGCATGAAGAGGGACTTGCCAGGACGGACTCGTGTCATGATTGTTTTTCCGTTTTGTGTTCTTTTTCCCCCAGCATGCTGCTGTGCTGCTATCCGTTGTCACCAGAGCGTGTCAAACGAAAGAGGCTTCAGTCAGAAAGATACATGCATCGCAGCCCAGATCCAGGCAGCGGGGATTGCTGCCAGCGTGTGTGAGCCACATCTTTAGATTGTGACCAGCTGCCAGCATATCTTGTACAGCACTCATGGTGATTCCTGACTGCCACATTTGCAACTACGCTGGTCAGGTCAACGTGTGCACTCTGAAGAAGGGGGCAGGAGCGCAGCTTGTGGTGTCAGACTGGCTGTACGTACGCGAGTTGTTCAAGGGCACAAAGCAGTTTCGCAATGTAGGCTGGCTTGTCTGCAGTGTTTTCTTGGAGCGTCAAATAGCATCTCTGAGTGTCGCAGGCCTCAGGGTCTAGGCGGCTGGGAGAGTAGGAGATGTGGCGCATGCCTTTCTGCTGAGCAACCCACACAGTATCCCTGGCCGTCCGCACGCCGCCATGGAACGGAAGGACAGGAAGAAGCACGGGCGGCAGCCAGCTCGACCGCCTGTTGGGGAGACTGAACTCCAAGGCCACATTGTCCGCTTCAAAGCACCGAATGGCGAAAGCTATGAGGTGAACGTGCTCAGGATGCAGCAGCGGAATCGGCGCACAGGAAAACTCCGTGCAGTGAGCTATAATCACGGCTGGTTTTTCGACTCGGAGAAGAACAGCAAGGGATGGCTGCCATACTGCAAGCTGCTTCAACAAGTCCTGGACCACGCCTATGAGGCTTGATGTGGATGACAGGGACTGCCCAGATGTGCTGCATCTGGATTTGAGCACGGGGAAAGAGGAATACATCCACATCCTCCCAGACAAGAAAGACACCAAAAGAGAAGTGCGCAAGGCGCTGTTGTCAGGACAATTCGAGCGATTGCACTTACTTCTTGGTGCTCAGCCACAAGTCCAGCTCTGTTGTTTTGAGATATTCGACCAGCGTTATCCAGGTTTCGTGCTAGGCCACGAGCAGAAATCTTGCGTCAAGATGCTTTTAGCCAGAGGTGCCAAGCTAGGCAAATGTGCCCCCAGCAGCAAGCTGCTGCGTAAAGTTGAGGCAGATTCAGAGAGGCTGTGGCTGCTGTGCTTCATGCGTTCGATGTCACTGGCTGGGATGGACCTGCCAGATTCTGTACAGCAACATGTTAAGTTGTTCATTTGAGAGCGCTTCGTACAGCTTGCAGCTCGCAACAAATCGCGTGTCACGGATTCGCAAGCAGCGAGTGCAGGAGGGGGGTTTGGTTGAACCCGGCATGACGTTAATTGCTGGTGCCGAGGAGCCAAACTGCTGAGAACTACAAGGCTGGGCCTTTGCAGTGACATTGGGTCCGCGTGTGCGCTGACATTGCCATTCGCAGGGCTCTGGCAAAGTGAATCAAGGACCTGATGGAGGAGCAGGTGCGTTGGAACACACAATTTTCAGCTTTTCCCCAGCTGTTCCCTTATCTGGTTTTTATATGGGGGATCCTTGGCTCTTTATTTTTTTCCGGATACTGACTCTTATTTTTGATAAGTGGCTCTTGTTTTCCGGATAGTTGACTCTTCTTCTAGATACTTGGTTCTTATTTACCGGATACTTGACTCTTATTTTTCTAGATACTTGGCTCTTATTTGCGGGATACTCGGCTCTACTTTTGGGACACGTGGCTCTTGTTTTTGGGGCCGTCGTCCCCAGACCCCCCCCCCCCCCGGCAATAGTATGGGTCCATCCAGGGAGGGGGGCCGGGGGGTGGGGGGGCTTGTACTGTCGCTCTGTTCTACCTTCTATGGACCCCACAACCCCCAATTTTTCACCATGGACCTCGGACCTCCCCACCCATGGGGGCGGGGTAGGCTTGTACTGTCGCTCTGTGCTACCTTCTTTTACTGAGCATGACCATTGGGGGCCGGGGGGTGTGGGGGCTCACGGAAGACTGGAACATAGTTTAAAAACATACACCAGCAGAGACCCCAAACAGTTGAGGACTGACGGGCAAGCACAAACATGCCAACAGCTTGCGGCTTTCTGCGCTTCAACACGGATGAATCAAAATGATGCAGTCGTGAAACCGGCTCACGTTGAGTTGCTGCATGTGTGTAGCCGGCGTGCTTCGCGATTCAGAACCGCGCAGGAACTGAGGTTGGGCAAGCGCGTGCATTTGCGTGCGAGCGCGCGCGCGTGAACGCAAGTGTGGCTGCGCAAGCTCGCGGTCACATGGGCAGTTCAGACACACATGTCCAACTCAGACACATGTGCGCGTGTGTGTGTGCGTACATGTGGAACACATATGTATACGACTGAAACAGTACACGCGGCGCGCGCAGATGTGCACCCGTGAGCACACATATATTTTCACCTGCGGCACGCGCATACATGTGTTGAGCTGGAAAGCCAACGTGTGCTTTTTGTAAAGCACACACACACACATGTGTACACCTGGAACACACATATGTGTTCACCCGACAGGCTAATGTGCTCAGGTGGAACACACATGTGTTCACTTGGAACACAATGAAACGCGTTTCAGACACACATGTGTGCACACGTGGAACACACGTGTGTTCACCTGGAACACAAACACCTGCAATAAAGCACACATGGGACACACGTATGTAGACCACTAGAACACAAATATGTGTCCAGGAACGCCGCATGTGCGATTAAAGCACACATGCGTGCACGCGTGGAACACGCATATGTGCACGCGTGAGCAAACATAACTGCGCGCCTAAAGCGCACACACACACACACGCACGCATGTGCGCACCTCGAAAACAATCATGCGTTTTCTGGAACACACATATGTGCGCACGTGAACATTCACATAAATGTGCACCCGGAACACACCAGTGTGCTCATCCGATAACAACAGTGTGTTCTCCTGGAACGCAAACACACATGTGTGCACACGTGAACACACACGCATGTGTACACGTGGGAAACACACATGTGCGCACGTGAACACACACACATGTGCACAAGGGAACACACACATGTGTACTGCGCACGCGAACACACGCACATTTATGCGCACGCAGAAACACAGACACACGCACGAGTATTCATCTGATAACAAACACGTGTTCTCCTTTAACACAAACACGTGTCTATTTGGAACACAGAAGTGTGTACACGTGAACACACGTCTGTGTACACGTTGGACACACACACATGTGTACACGTGAACTGTTCGTCTGATAACAATCATGTACTCGCCTGAAACACAAACACGTGTCCAATTCAAACCCGCAAGTGTGTATACGTGAACACAAGTGTGTACACGTGAACACAAATGTGTACACGTGGAACACACATAATGTGTCCAAATGAACACACCTACATGTGCACGCGGAGCAGACCCCCACACACACACACGCGTTCGTCTGACAACATACATGTGTTCTCCTGTTCTCCTGGAACACAAACAAGTGTCCAGTTGGAACGCGCATGTGTGCACACGTGAACACACATACATGTGCATGCGGAGCAGACACGTTCTCCTGGAACACACACACACGTGTCCAGTTGAAACGCACATGTGTGCACACGCGACACACAAATGTGTACACGTGGGAACGCATATGTGTACACGTGGACACACATATGTGTACACGTGGAACACACATATGTGTACACGCAAACACATATATGCACACCCGGAACACGCACACACACACACACGCACGCGTTTTCGTCTGATAACAAACATGTGTTCTGGACACACACACATGCGTACACCTGGAACACATATGTGTGTATGTTTGGAAAGCATATCTCTGTTCACCTGCAACACATTAGTGTGCGCCTGGAACCCATACATGCGCTCACTTGCAACAGGCATTTGTGTTCACGCGCAACACTGGTGCAGACCTGGATCACACAAATATGCTTAACCAGAACAAACTTCTGTGCTGACTTGTTACACACATATTTGTACACATGGAACACACGTATGTGCGCATGTGGAGAAACATGTGCAACACAATTGCGCAGCACACATGCGTTCGCCTGGACAACAAAAATGTGTTCACATGGAGTTTACATTCTCTGCACGCCTGTGCGACACATAAATCAGGTTCCCGAAGCCGGCTGTGAGGCGCTATTCCATTGGGCTCTGCCTTGAACAACGCTTGTGTTTTATACGCATGTCCCAAGTAGGAAGATAGTGTTCGTGCACGGTCAATCTAGCAATTTTGCAACACGTTGCTAGCGCGCGAGCCTGCAACTGCTGCTGCTACTACTGCTAATACTATCAGTGTCGGATGCGTCTCCGGCATCTACAACGCCTCATCTTAGCATTGCGCTTCTTTCTAGCTTAGCTGCGCAGTGTTTTCGTATTGAGCAATCTGTTGCTCTATCGACGCTCTAAGGTGCCTTTATCGTATTGTGGCAATTCCTCGTATCGACTCAGTAAAGCATTTGCTTTCGCAGGGAAATACACAACCCAATTCTTCCGTATGCTCGGTGCAAGGCATCCCTGCCTTCTTCCTCAGCCGTTTTGTCTCCCGTTTGTCCAGCAAATCGCATTCCATGGTAATTGCACGCGAGGCGAGCGGAAGCAAATTTGCATTGAGGCGTAACTGGGAACCTGTCACAGCTGACCACTGCGCTAGCGCCCTGCTAGCGCGCGGCTAGCGCTGTGCCAGGCATCCAGGCTGTGGGAGACAACGGGAGACAAATGAAGGGGGATCAAGGGAGGAAGTGTGGGAGCAAAAGTGGGAAGTGTGCAAGCAAAGAAAGGTGGGACGCGTGAAAGCAAAAGCGGGAAGAGTGGCGGCAAATGTGGGAGGTGCGGAAGCAAGAGTAGGAAGTGCGGGGGCAAAAGTAAGAAGTGTGGGAGCAAAAGTGGACAAATGAACCCGTCTACCCAGCAAGAGCTGTGCCGGCATCCAGGCTGGGAAACAATGGGAGACAAACGAGCCCGTTCACCCAAAGAGCCATGCCGGGAGACAACGGGAGACCAAATGAAGGGAGACAAAGGGAGACAAATGAACCCGTCCATCCAGAGAGCCGTGCCAGGCATCCAGGCTATGCCTTGGCAAAAGGCGAGTCGCTTTAAATGAATTTAGAACCTCTCACAGTAAGCTGTTTGGGGAAAAATGAAGCTTTGGGGGACTTGGCCCTCAACGTTGGGGGACTTGACCCTTAACTTCAGGGGGCTTGGCCCTTGAGTTGGGGGGACTTGACCCTTAACTTTGGTGGGACTTGGCCCTTGACTTTGGGGGGACGTGGCCCTTAACTTTGGGGGGACTTGGCCCTCAAGTTGGGAGGACTTGGCCGGGGGAATCGACCCTTAACTTTTGGCTTAGCTCTTAACTTCTGGGGGTCGGTGGGGGGGGGAATGGGTTTTTGACTTTGTAAGACTTGTCCTTAACTTTGGGGGACTTTGTCCGCAACTAGCACCAACCTTCCCTCAAGACAAGAAGCACTCGTCTCTGCAAGAAGCCCAAGGTCTCCGCAACAGGGGCCCAGACAACAAGCGGCATGTAGCCCGCAAACATCAGCTAAATGACCATAATATATATATATATATATATATGCTACCCCCCCCTTTGAAATACTCAGGTTTTTTGGCAGGAACTGAGGTTTTTGGCCAGACTGGGGGTGACAAATGGCTTGAGGCTCTGAAATGATTGACGGGACGCTCAACTCCGTGCAATTTCCAACCAAGCAGAAGTTAAGCTCAACGTTGATTGGGATTTTCGAGTTGTGTGACCGTCACATTGGCGTGCGCGAAGTGCACTTAAAGCCACGTTGGAATATGCAAAGTGCACTTTGCCAGCTTCAGCTCAAAAAACACAACTGTTCAGCACAAAAGTAGTGCGCGAAGTATGTTTTGGCAGCTTCAACGCGCCTGTAGCAGCTCTATTATTTGGTGTTTATTATTTTTGTTTGGCCGCGAAATTCAGCAAATCATCAACTTGGGGAAAAGGAACTCATTCCTACTTCATGTCCTTGCGCAGTTGCATTTACACGTTAATTCGCGTGTTGTGCATAATTCCTGAGTCTATTTGAAATGCACGTTGCAAAGCAACTATCCAATGTGTGTGTGTTGCTTGTCTAAGTTGGTTCAATCATCGCCAATAATAACTATTGAAGCTCAAGTAAGGGAAGGATATCCAGTTTAAAAACTTTCGAGCTCAAACCAAATTCAAGTTTACTCGTTTGCAGTTTCTTGTACATTTCAAAAACCAACTGGAGAAGATAGCTATTGTCATGGCCAAATGAAGTTGGAATCAAACTCAAGTTTGAAAGGGTTATTGTCCTTATCGAACTCCATGTAGTTTGAACCAAGCAAGAACTGAGCCAAGCCAATGACAGGAACGTGTTTTCAATCATAGATCTTATTCTTCGCATAAATGCCTTAAAACGTGTTTTTCAGCATTTGCTCAGATCGTGTTGCCCTGGATCGAAGATCGAATATACAAGATTCCACAAACATTACATATGTTTAGAACATCCTCAATCCTGCTCCCCCCAAAACTTGACAGTTTGTTCCAGACTTAAGGTTTCGCCCCCTGCATTGAAGATTGAAGATCTACCAGATTGTCTATTTGAGAATCTTCCATCCTGGCCAGCCCTCAAGTCCAAAAAGAACAAGTCCAAAAAGAACCTGTAAAGGTGTCAACAACATTTTTCCCCCCTGGCCAAATGCAGGCAGTGCTAGTGCGCATACACAATTTGATTCTGACAACATGCACTCCCGTCCGCCTTTTGGATTCTTCAAATCCGCGCTTAGGGCAATCCAGGATCTGGATGGAAGATTGAATATTCTCTGACAACTCTTTCTGAAATTCTGCAAATATGTACTTAGGGCAATCCAGGATGTGCTAGCACGTGCTAGCACATCCTGGATTGCACTAAGTACCCATGCTGGAATTTAAGTCTAAAAAAGAGTGCATTTTTAGAGCCTGGAACGTGTGTTTTGCATGCATTTTTACAGCCAAAATGTCAATTCTGGCCAAAAACATGAGTATTCCAGGGGGGTACCACATATATATATATATATATATACATCGTCATCATCGTGATCATCACCGTGATCATCATCGTTATCATCATCATTGTTAGGCACTGTTGGGGATGCATCCTTTGTGGAGCGTTCCCAAATGGGGGCTAAACTCAGTGCCCGCATTGTACCTATGCTCGGCTGGTGCTTGGTGCCTGATTCTTGTTATTAGTGCGTGCTGCCAAATGTAAGGAAACATTTTGATCCAAGATGCTGTGAAGGTTGAAGGGGTGGTGCCTTGTCTGTCTACTCTTTTCGAGGCTTCGGTCTGCGATTTTTCAGGGAAAGATGTCCGAAGGGGTCGGCAGTACTGGGCGGGTGATGATGACTATGCTGATGATCATGATGAAACAATGATGACAATCATGATGATCACCCATGATGATCGTGATAACTATCATCATAGCGTCGCGCATCGCCTGCATCCCCAACGGTATAAGATGACAATGATCATAATAATGATGACTACCATGATGACGATGATAACTATCTCCAACATGATATGATGACAATGGTGATCCCTATGATGACGATGATAACTATCATCATAGCATCCCCTGCATCTCCAACGCTTTCTAACGCGACATTTGAACTGCATATAAGAAAAGACAGGAGTGATGAATGATGATGATAATGATGATCACGATGATCACGATGACCCCCCCCCCCATCCCCAACAACAATGATGATGGTAATACTGATGATCTCCGATGACGATGATAACTATCATCATAGCATCACCTGCATCCCCAACGGTATAAGATAAGAAAGATATCATGATGACAATGATGAAGATGACGATGACGATGATGATGATGATGATGATGATGATGATGATGATGATGATACTAGTGATGATGACACCAACGATGATCACCATGATGACGATGATAGCTATCATCAGACATCTCCAACGCTCTCCTATGATGACGAGGACAACTATCATCATAGCATCCCCTGCATTCCCAACGGTGTCCAACGCCACACTTGAAATGCATATATAAGAAAATATAAGAATACAATAAGAAAGAGATGATGATGACCAGAATTATGATCATGTTCGCGACTCATAATTTTGAAAACTTAAAACACAAGTTATGACAGTTTCAAGGCTCAGCATGCTTAACTTGAACGCGGGCTCAGCACGCTGAGGCTAATGCTTTCGGTTGAGCGCAAAATGTAGAGCTAAGTGTTGAAATCATAAGAGCTAATTAGGAGCCTGATTAATTGTTTTGTTTCGGAAGTAAGAGTTACGCAGGGGCTTAATTAAGATCCAGGTGTGGAAGAACAAGAGCTAAGTTAAGAGCTAAGTGTGGAGTCATAAGAGCCAAGTTAAGAGTCAAGTGTTATCCCCGCAAGAGCCAATACTAGCCCCGGAAGAGCCGAGTGCTAGCGCCATAGGAGTCAAGCATTAGCCGTGAAAGAGCCAAGTATTAGCCTCGGAAGAGCCAGTACTAGCCCCGTAAGAGCCAACAAGAGCCAAGTATTAACCCCGTAAGAGCTAAGAGTTCGCCCACGAGAAGGGCCAAGTATTAGCCTCGTAAGAGTCAATATTTGCCCCAGATAAGGGCCAAGTATACCCTAAATAAAACGTGTCAGAGCACGCCTCTAACGCATGTGCAATGCATATCTTGTACGAGTGGAGGCCCAGATTCCACTTCTCAGTGTGAAGTGTCACCGTCTTCTAGAGGCAGGGATGCGCAGAGCTTTTCATGTCGCGCAGTCAGCTGTGCAGGGACACAGGCCCTTGAAGCTGACCAGTGCAAAGAAGGAAGCTACCCTCACAGCTCCAAAGTATCTCGCCATGCTACGATGCGAGGAGTGCAAAGAGGAATGGCAAAAGAACCTCGCGGGCAAGGAAGCGCAAGCCAGGCAGGCAACGCTTTAAGGCTACATGATGCTAAGTTGTATTACTGTCTGCACAGCGCTGTGAGGCTGGATTTCACAGCTGTTGTGCAAGAGGGTTTGTGCTTCGGAACGCAGAGTCAGCGCCTTTGCCTGAATTTTCGAGCAGCTCTCCCGCACAGAGAACTGCTTACCGTTACCGCGTGTCAGACGCCCTGCCTGCAGCCCCCTGTCCTGTGACACTCTGCGCAGATTTCACTCGGTTTTGCCTGCGCTTTTTCAATCTCGCAGCCAGCCCCGGACCAGACCATTGGCAACACCGTGCGTTTTCAATAGTGATTCAAGACTCCTGAGCCTCGTTAGCCTCGTGAGCCTCGTTAGCCTCGTTCGCCTCGTTAGCCTGGTTTGCCTCGTAAGCCTGTTAGCCTCGTTAGCCTCCTTAGTCTCGATAGCCTCGTTGCCCTCGTCCATGCGCCTGGGTCCGCTTAACCTTGAAGCACCAAAAGCAGACTATGACCTTAAAACATCTGAAAGCATTTGAAAACAGACAGCGCCAAGCAAACGATGCTGCGATGACCATGGCGGGCCAGCTACCCTATGAGCTTCCCTCATTGCTCTTACGCAGCGACGGCGCGCGTCATGACGGTTTGCCAAACTCTATGGTCAATATCAAAATCAAACACCTTCCAACCGCAGAGCTGTCCAAGATGGAGCCAAGCCTGAAGTCATAGACCGAGGTTGTCAAGCACCCAGTCAAAACTTATTCTTTCAGGAATGCAGAGAGCATGGAAGACAAGCACTAAATTTGGGCTGCCAGGCCATGCCTGCGCACCGATCTCCGCATTCGCCAGAGGCGCTCAGCACTGGCATACTTGGACGTTTGGAAGCCAAAAAGACCAACTTGTCAGATCACAGAAGCTCTGCGAGAGCGAGTGGCCAGATGCTTGACGTGGGCCAGACTGGACTGAACAAGAGTTGAATCTCTGCGGCGGACCCGTGATGATAGCTGACTAATCACTGAATGTGTACTGACATGTTGTTCGTTTTGCAGCCATCAACCAAACATAGGCAGTCTGGGCAACACCTGGAGCTGCAAACGCAGAAGCGCCCTGCCTTTTGCTAAGGCCATGCTGGAAGGCTTGTTAGCAAAAGGCTCGCCCTGGCCGGGTGGACCCGGAAAGGCGGGCGCGCTTTTCATTGAAACTCGCAGGAATACTCTGGTGTTTTTTTGCCAGCGTTTTCGCGGAGCCTTTCTAGATCCTCCTGAAGCTGTTTTGCTTGTTTCCTTGCCTGTTTTACTCATTTGTTCTTACTGCTGCATTTGTGTTTCTCTGTTGTTTGCGTGTCTCGAGCCAGTGTTACGTACGCTTCATACTATCTGCATTTGGCTGAGTATGGAGCAACGCAACCGGAGGCTGTCTCATCCGGGCAAAGCGATGCAGTGCAGGCTGTCAGATGTGGCGGGCTAAGCTTTGGAGAATGGATGCTTCATGAGGCCACATCGGATCACAACAGAGATTGGGAGTCTTTGCCATCGGACGGTGCAAGCGAGGCAGCATTCACTTTACAATGCCAGCGGTAGGTGGAAGCAGCGCAGGTACTCACAAAGAACTCCAGGAAGTCAAGAGGGGCAAGCAGATCCATGGATGTCCGGCAGCAGACCTGTAGCCGCGACAGTTCAACAACCAAAAGCGAAAGCTTGAGCCCGCGGTCCATGCGACAGGCGGGCAAAGTAGCTTCCTTCGCAATGCTGCGTCAGGTTCCGCGCATGTTGCTTTGCTTCATGCATGCGCGGATTGCAGGCAACAGGGCGAAGCGAGCGAAGTGAGCTAGGCCTGAAACAACATGACCCAGAAGCGAGCAAGCACAAGATGACAGGCGCGCCAAGCAGCCTAAAGGAAGAAGGTGCCAAGATAGTTATCAGGTGGTTGATTCAATCATACACCATGCAGTATGGCTCTCAATCACTCGCCAGATGAAGTGCCAGACAAACCTGGCAATGAGCTGGGCAAAGCTCCCGGCAAACCGGGCAAAGGACCGGGCAAAGGACCGGGAGAGCCGGGCAAAGGTCCCGGCAAAGGATCACCTAAAGGCGCGCCGAGTCAATGCGTCAATCAGTTTTTCCTCGACAAACATTTGGCCAAGGTCAGGAGCCTAACGGGCCAGCCAAAGGCAAGGGCAAGGGCCCGCCTCCAAAGGCCGGCTGAGTACTCTTCACAGACTTGGTTTCCAATGTTTCCAGCAGTGTCACATCAAACAGAGCGATACTTCCGGAAAGACCTGCCGGTGATTGTGTGATCCTTATCACAGCTTTTCACAGCTTTACTCTAGGAAGCATGTGGAGTCTGCAGGCGCCTCCTCGTGCAACACCGAAGGAGAGACGAATGTTGCAGACGCTTGACATTTTTCACACGGAACCAGCCTGGCCCAGTTTGTGAGGCTCTCGGCAAAGGCAATGGCCCCGCACCAAGAAAGGCCGGATGGGGATCGCACATTACCTCATGCAGAATCAGTTTCCTTCAAAAGATGTGCTCCCAAGGCCGACATAAAGCCTCAGAAGCCAATGAAGAAGCTCTTTTGGCATCCATTTGTGCTACAGCCTCGCAAGACCGTCACCTGCATTACACGGGGGTTTTGTCAGCGCAAGTGCACTCAATTGATCTCAATCGCAATTTGTGTCCTGCCAAAAGGCTTGACGAGAAGCTTATCGAAGCTTGCAGCAATGCCGGGAGCTGTTTGATTTTGGGCGGAGATGCTTGAGCTTGCTTGCCTGAGGTCTGGGCAACAATTGAACATACAGGGCCCGATTGGTTTGATGTGGAGGAGCTTCTGTGGATTCTGCTGGATTCGCTTTGCAATTGGGAACACTTGCTCCTCGAGAGCTGGCCTGGCAGGAATTGGAGCATCTCTTTTCAGAGTCGTGCATGGCTCAGCACAGTAGCCACCAGCACCAGTATGTTATACTTTGTCCAGGCTAACTAGAACAGGGCCACCGCCTACATCCCACGGACAGACCACAGTTGCGACAGTTGAGAAAAACAGTCGCTTCGGGCGCAGGAGGCTCAGGGCGTCGAGCTCGTCTACGAGTCAGAGTTTTCGAGGATTCACGCCGTCGACAGGCTTCCAGCCCCGAGTTCAGCGTACGCTGGCATGTGCGGAATATCATTCATGCTCCACAGCATGGCAGCCATACGACATGCTGCAGCCCAATGTGGCAGTAATTTGCGAGAGGTGTGTATCATGCTGGCCCGGTTGCCGCCTGTGGAGAGCACTGTAGACCAGCCAAGCTTTTCATGCAGTTTGCTCTTTGGCCAGTTTGGACTTGTGTTCTTGCAATGCCAGGTCAAAGCGGTGCATCAGATGGACGACGCAATCTTGGATAAGGACCAGGTGCCCTGGCCAGAGCCACAAGCTAGGGTTGGCAAAGGTCACCGGCCCCGCAGATCTTTGCGACTCGACATTTGAGATCACAAACTCACTCGGTGAAGAGGTTGAGCTATTGCTGTCCACAGCTCCATCAGCGGAAGCCGGAAACTTAGATGAAATGACATGTGACATGCTCTAAATATTTGCTCCAATGAGTATGCGAGGAGCTTGCGATGCTTCGGGCTGCGGCGCGAGAGATGCCTGAGCAGGCTGGGGCAACAGTACACGACGGAAGCTTGCGCAAGGAGCCTCATCGGAGACAACTTCTGCCCACATAATCAGAATCCAGGTGGCACCTAAATGTCGGTCAAATCCACTGGCGTAACAACAAAGCAGCTAATGCGACTGAAACACACACCCACCACCCACACACCCAGACACACACAAACCACACAAACCACACCCCACACAACACACAACACACACACACACCCGAAAAAATAAAGAAAGAAAGAAAACAAAACACACACACACACACCACACACACACACCACACCAAACACCACACGCCACACACCACACACCCACAAACACACACAAACCACACACACCCCACACACCCCACACAACACACAACACACAACCCACACCAATAAAAAACAAAACAACAACACCACACACCACAGACCACACACCAGAAACCATACCACACACCACACACCACACACCCACACACACAAACCACACAAACCACACACCCCACACAACACACAACACACAACACACAACCGGGAAAAAAAGAAAAAACACCGCACACCACAGACCCCACACCAGAAACCACATCACACACCACACACCACACACCCACACCCCACACCACACACCACACACCACACACCAAACACCACACACCACACACCACACACCACACACCACACACCACACACCACAACAACACACCACACACCACACACCACACACCACACACCAGACACCACACACCACACACCACACACCACACACCACCCCACACACCACACACCACACACCACACACCAGACACCACCCACCACACACCACACACCACACACCACGCACCACACACCACACACCACACACCACACACCACACACCACAACACCACAACACCACAGCAAACCACAACACACCACAACACACCACAACACACCACAACACACCACAACACACCACAACAACGCACAACACACCATAACACACCACAACACACCACAACACACGAAACCACACCACACCACACCGCAGCACAACACAACACACCACAGCACAAAAACAGACACACACACCGTGAACAGGATGCAACAGCTGCAACGCTACAATTGCGTGCAGAGTGTCACCAAGGACGCAGTAGAGACAAGCAACAACCACCAGATGGGAGAACAGGTCAGCCGAGCGCGGCGGAGCGCAGCAGCAGTGCCAAAGGAAATCTAGTTCTGGCGCCAAGTGAAGGCTCGCCGTAATTTAGAAGTAGACGAGAGCGGAAGGATAAGAGAAGAGGAAACCAGAGAAGAAAAGAAAGGCACAGACAAAAAGTGACGCGCAACGCTTGCGCAAGGTCAGGTGCAGACTTCGTGACAGGCGCAGCGCTCTCGCAGAGTCAGGCGCAGATTGTGTGACACGCGCAACATCTTCACAATGTTGGAATGCTTTGTTTACAAATCCCAGTGGCGCGGACGCGCAAGCTGTCACGTGCTGAGATTGTGGCAGGCGCGGCTCTTTCGCAAGGTCGGGTAGAGATTTTCTGACAGGAGCGGCGTTCGTAAGGGCAAGTAGCGCGTTTGCAAGCGGAGCTCCTGGCAAGCGCAGCCCTTTCAGGAGATAGACGCATAGACGGATCGAAGGATAGATAGATCGACAGACACATAGATAGCTAGATAGCCGGAGACCTAGACAAGTACAGAAGACTAGCTTAGATTAGACGATCTAGAATAGGTAGATAGATAGAGACTTAAGACGTAGATCGCTAGCAGCCGAGAGTAGGTAGAAAGTGAGGTTAGCGTGGCAGATAGATAGACAGATAAATCATCTTGCGACGAGAGAGAGAGAGATAGGAAAGAAAGACAGACAGAAGGGAAGAAAGAAAGAAAGAAAGAAAGAAAGAAAGAAAGAAAGAAAGAAAAGAAAGAAAGAAAGAAAGAAAGAAAGAAAGAAAGAACGAACGAACGAAAGAAAGAAAGAACGAAAGAAAGAACGAAAGAAAAAACGAAAGAAAGAAAGAAAGATAGCCGCGTTCAAATCGTAAATGAACAGATAGGCGCACAGACAGATAGATTGCCAGATAGCTGGATAGCTAGATAGCTACAGCTAGTTAACTAGATAGGAAAAGAGTTAGATATAGAGAGCCAAAAAGATGATTTGACAAATGAAAAAGCAGGCAGACGGAGCGAGAGGGATAGACAGATAGGTAGGTGGGTAGGATAGTAGGTAGATAGACAGACGGATGAAGTAGATAGATAGATGGATAGGGGGGTGGGTGGATGGACGGATGGGTTGATGCATGGATAGGTTTCTAGCTAGACAGACAAACAGTTAGAAGGGTGGATGGAAGGCGTGTACATAGATAGTGTGCTAGATGGACAGATAGATAGAGCGGTAGCGCTACTGGTAGTATACTTGTAAACGCTGCGTGTTGCCCGCCTCGGCCAGGCCAAGCGCGCAGCGTCTGTGGTTCGACTGCAAGCAGCAGAGCTGGTCAAGTGGCGATTCAGGCATGGACAGGTTTTGGCGTCGTTGGACCTGATGTCACGGGTCAGCAGGAATCCCCAAGGCAAGGCGGGCTGGGCCCGGACATGTGAATCCAGTCTTAGACATGCCAGGTTGAGACAAGGCTGGTTTGTCTGACGTTGGGTTGCTGGGTCTGGGTGGGTTGTTGGTTGGGCGAGCCTAGGCAGCTGGACTGTGCTGCTGGGCTGGGCCTTGCTTGGGCGGGTTGCTGGTTGGGCTGGGCTGTGAGGCTAGTCTCAGACACGTCAGACAGGCCTGGCCAGCAGGAGGTTGCTTTTTGGGACATAAGGCTTATGTTAGAGTTTTGCCATTGTCAGCGCAATTTCGACAATGGGCCCATGGAGCTGCACGCCGACCAACCCCGAAAGTCTCAAAGTCCGCCGGACAGGATCTTAGGGCCCATGGTGCCGAGCAGGTGCACCGATGGCAGCTTGAGCCCATCAATGGATCAAAAGCAACGAAATGCGGGCACTGGGCGGTCGTTGCTGGCTCTTTCCTACCGATCTTGCGCCCGCTCTTTACATCGTACTTTCCTGTGCGACACGGGGCAACAGTTGGACAATCACGCGAGCTAGCTCCTTGGAGCTAGGCTGAAGTTTCTGTTTACTTCAGCTTGCTGAGAAGGGGCGGTTCGAAAACTTGAGTTAGGTATTGAGGCCTGAATTCTCACTGGTTGTGAGGGTCGTGGAGGGGGGGTAATTTGACGGGCAGGAGGTTGATTTTATTTTTTTCATAATTTGGGTGCTGAATAGCAAATTAATTTAATGAATTTAATGTTTCAGAAGGCCAAACACATTAAAATCCTTAAATCCGTTAAAATCATTTAAATGAATTTAATGATTTTCATGGTTCAGAAGGCCAAACACATTAAAGTCATTAAATTCGTTAGAATCATGTAAATGAATTTAATGACTTTCATGGTTCAGAAGGCCAAACACATTAAAATCATTAAGATCATTAGAGTCTAAGAGTTTGACTGAGCCAGGACTATTTTGATATCATAATATTTTAGATTATTAAAATGATTAAATTCATTAATTCATTTTAATGAGCTTTATGAATTTAATGTGTCAGAAGGCCAAACACGTTAAAATCAATAAATTCTAGGAGCATGATGTTAATCATCGTTGCTATCATCAATTTCATCATAATCATTATAATCATCATGTTCATTATCATGTTCATTATCATGTTCATCATCATTTTCATCATCATTTTCATCATCATGTTCAGCACCATGTTCATCATTAGTTTTATCAGCATCATGAATTAAACGAACTTGCATGGTTTTAATGATTTTGAAATTAAAATAGTCTTGGCTCAGGCAAGCTCCTGGAATTTAAGGATAATGCACATGATGATGACCATGATGACGATAAAACTGATGATGAAACTGATGATGAAAATGATGATGATAATGATGATGATAATGATGAAAATGATGATGAACCCGATGCTGAACATGATGATGATAAAACTGATGATGAACATGATGAGGAAAGTGATGATGAACATGATGATGATAAAACTGATGATGAAGAGGATGATGATAAAACTGATGATGAAAATGATGATGATTATGATGATGGAAATGATGTTGTTGATGATGAACATGATGACGACCATGATGATGAAAACGATGATGAACATGATGATGAACATCATGATGATAATGATGGTGATAATGATGATGGTGATGATGAAAGTGATGATGAGAGCAATGATGATGAAAAAGGATGATGAACATGCTGAACATGATGATGAAGATGATGATAGAACTGATGATGAAAACGATGAACATGATGATGATACAACTGATGATGAAAATGATGAGGACAATTATCATGAACTTGATGATGAAAAAACGGATGATGAACACGATGCTGAAAACGATGTGTAACATGCTGCTCCTCTAATTTAATAATTTTACTGATTTTCATATTAAAACAGGCATGGCTCAGGCAAATTGCTGGATTTCATGATGATGCACATGATGATGAAACCGATGATGATCATAATGATGATGACACATGATGATACACATGATGATGAAAATGATGATGATACTGATGATGATGAAAATGATGATGAAAACGATGCTGAAAATGATGAGGATAAACCTGATGATGAACATGATGATTAAACATGATGATGATGAAATTGATGATAGCAACGATGATTAACATCATGCTCCTAGAATTTATTGATTTTAACGTGTTTGGCCTTCTGACACATTAAATTCATCAAGTTCATTAAAATGAATTAATGAATTTAATCATTTTAATAATTTAAAATATTATGATATCAAAATAGTCCTGGCTAAGTCAACTCTTAGACTCTAATGATCTTAATGAATTTAATATTAAAACAGGCATGGCTCAGGCAAATTGCTGGATTTAATGATGATGCACATGATGATGAAAACGATGATGATAATAATGACGATGACACATGATGATAAACATGATGATGAAAATGATGATGATAATGATGATGATGATAATGA